TAAAAGCTTTAAGTATAATTTGTGCTTTTTCCGGATTGACTTCTTAATGGCTCTTGTAGACTAATCCATGGTTTATTTAGTTGCTCGGAATTTTTGGAAGTGTAAGTCACCAACGGTACATTACTGTCATAGCAAAATGCAAAAACAAATGTTTTTTTGGCTACTGTATCACTAGCATTCACTTTTTTTAAACCATTTTTTAAAACCAACTCCAGCAATATGGTACTATAACAGAAATTATCTACGTTGTAGTTTCTAAACAAGATTTTAAATTGAAGCAAACCTTGCAAAAAATATAATGATTAAATTGTCCCCACATCTCTACCTCTTGTTCCTTCACCAAACATAACACATTATTGTTGTGCTTCACACTGCGTCGTCTCTTCGCAGATGTATAATCTCACTTATGTAAATAATTAATGCTAACACCTTCGAATCTATACATAATAGAAATTTTCAATGAGATTTATTTGGAGAATTTTATACATTCATCTGTAGTATGGAAGAAAATAACCTTCTAATAACATCAACAGCTTTGCACATTTTAGAATTATATTTACGGTAGCTCAAAATATGGTAGTTCAACGTTCTTGCTTCAATACACTCATACAATTTGTTCTTACTAAAATATATAAATTTCGCTCCAACAATACTAATGTAGCTTCTCAAAATGTACAAAATGTAAATGTATAAATATTGAAACTAACAAGGCCCAGTGTACACAATTTTGCACATGTGCACTTCAAAGAACCCAGTTCATCCTTCGGGACGAGTAGGGGGTTACGTATGGATTGGAGGTCCATGATAGCCAACCTGCTAAGAGCAGAGGACACCGACAGGTAACAGGTAAATGTTCATTGCCACTCGCCACAATTAATAGAATTCTTAATGAGGTTTTTTGGCAGATAGAAAACGAGTGCTGTCATCCCTGCAATCAAACTAATGTGTAGAAAATCTGAATCTGGCAGCAATCCAGTTAAAAAAACAAAAAACAAAAAAAAAACAAAAAAAAAACTGACCGGCATATTTACTGTGAGCAATTACTCGAAGTTAATAGAGCCAAATCGCATAATTCACTTCTTAACAAACTTGTCAAGACTCAAAGGGAAATATTCAAACCTACAGACAAGCTTCTGTACAAACGTGCTTCTTCTCTGCTACCATAGATCGACTCCTATCCAAATTTTTAGTCAAGCGTTTCCAATTCGTTTTTATCTTGAGATTCCAACAATCCAAAGTAACACTAGAGATAACATCAGAAAAGCATGTGAAATACCAATAAGACACATCATATGTGAACAAGGAAAACTACGAGAAAGCAAAGAAACTTCATAAAGCCGTTTTCCACTAGGCGAATTTATTCGCGCAAATCGGTTCCTGAGCTCTGGTTAGTTTCGAACATTTTTTTCTTCGCAAAAAGTAGAAACAGTTTGAACTACCAATTTCGCTGAAGCGAAAACTCCGATAGAAATGTAATTGCGCATGAACGACGCTTTCGATTCGCGCCAATAAATTCGCCTAGTGGAAAACCGGCTTAACTGTACCAAAATTGGAACATATCTGTCAAGCTCTCCAAAATTAATACAAGTTAAAGATAAACTTAGAAAGCGTTATTATGTGAAATACCAACAAGGTACATCAGATGTGAACAAAGAAAATACAAGAAAGCAAAGAAACTTCATAACTTTTCCAAAGTTAACCAACAGTTTTCATTCCTTCTTTATCAAGATTCAAACACACCTGTTAAGCTATCCAAAAGTAACACAAATTAAAGATAAACAGAGAAAGCATATTATGTAAAATACTAACAAGACATCAGATGAGAACAAGAAAAAACATGAAACAAAGAAACTTGATGACTGTTACACGCATGAAGGAGGGTTTCAAAGAAAAAGAGGTCGAAACCACGCGTGCCAACTCCAAGCACGGACTAATTGGGCAACTTATAAATGACATCAAATCGAGTTATTAATAAACCCAAATTAAAAGAAAAAATCAACAAAATATAGGATCTGTGGCAATACGCACCTGTTGCAATGGTAAATCCATCCACGACTGAGTCAGGCCTCCTCGATGGTGCCATCCCTGGAAATGCTGCTGATCGACAAACTGCAATCGCAATGATTCGCGCCAACGGAGGAGTTGATCAACCACAACACTCCTCATACAGGTGTCTTTTTCTGAACCTGGTGAATGTCTTAAAATATCAGACTTCCTTTAGATTACAAGTCTGGTAATAATCTAATTAACCGGATGCAGTCGCTTAATAATTTATGTAATTGGTCTAACCATTAACATCCAGAAAAATCTTAACCTTTAGGTCACCCAGAACAAAGAGCACTGTTTTTAAGTTTTGGAAAAAATATCAAGCGTCCTAAGTCATTAAATGCGTTTAAAAGTCAATTACTGTAAATGCATAGGCCTATTCTGCGTTTTTGTTTGTTTATTTATTTTTTTTAGTTTTATAACACTTTTTTGACATTTTTATCGATTTTTATTTTTGTGACGATTTAACATTAAATTTATACTAAACCATTGTTGCGGTTTTTTGCTCATTACCTGACTGCTCGTTTTCAAAATGCATTTATAGTACATGGTTTGCTGTTCTTTCTTTCAACCTTTTCCTTAAAACTAATCTGTTGTTTAATGTTGATAAAATAAGATAGACACTGCCTCCACAAACATAATAGGCCCATGTTAATATTTAAAGCATTTATTTAGCTATATTTTATATAATATGACCATGTGGTGAAAGCTACAGCAGAGTACCGTAAGCTTTGCTTACACGACATTTAACCACGGGAGAGTTTCCAGATTTCCATAATCTGTACACCATCAATTATACAACAAATATATGTTATTACCGATAATTCCATAAAATACCGTACTCGCGCGAATTAGCGCCCCGTTTGAATAAGTGCCCCTCTTGAATAAGCAAAAATTCTGCCGTCGTGCTAATCTCAATCGGCCGATGGCAAACAAGCTAACCACTACCCACCACCACTAATTGCATCTGCTATTCTGCTGTTACGTAAATATTCACAGCATTCTTGTCATGAGCCATGTTCTCTGGACATCTATGTTTTCCGCCGCACCACCATTCGTAATGTCCTTATATAACCTTTTTTCATTCAAAAAGTGCCTCGAATTTAATAAGTTCCTATTAGAACCCCTCGATTTTCATCTATTTCCATAAGCGCCCCACTCTGTTTTCATAAACGCCCGTTTAAATAAGCACCCCGTTTGAATAAACGCATCTCAGAAAGTGCAAAAAATATTTTAAGCGCCCGGGCGCTCATTCGCGCGAGTACTGTACAATTAACAATTTGTTACCTAACATATAATACGAACAAAGGAGCCAAAACGTAACGAGAGAAATACATATATGGTTTAGTTTCTTTTGAAAGAGTCATAACATGTAAGAGAAAAAGTTAACAGGAATAGGGAAGGCGCACGTCTACTGATATTCTAATTAATAGGATCCTCATCTTCGCGGTCCCTTAACATTCTTTAATGATGGAGGTATTAAATTAGTCTACAACCATAGAAATCATCTGACGTCATCAATAGTTGACGTCATTCCTACCAAGCAGTCAATTGATTAAGATCTCTATGTTAACTATCAATCTCAATTTTATATTTTACTAAATTTTATACTTGTATTTATAAGTACTATGCTAATCACAATACTATTCCATTAATGCCTGTCTTACTGTTCCTTTTTAACGATGAATGTTATGAGCTAAAACAAGTAAAAAATTCGATTCCACACTGAAGAGTTTAATTTGTATATTTAAGTTGTTTAACTTACAATTAAATATCGAATGAGAAACAATTTTCCGTCAATTATTTTACATAGACACTTAAATTTTCTGGTATTATATTAGGCCTTAGGATATTTTTTTTTCTCAGGAAAATGTCTGTAAATAAGTGAACACTAATTTTATCAATCTCTTCTCGTTGGAGGTTAGTTAGCATATTTGATTTTGTTAAAAGAATTATTCAAAAATTTCCTTAAATCTTCAATGTTTGTTTTTCGGATTTTCTTTGGCAGAGTATCTTTAAATACATGTTTCAATATTGTAAATGTAATAATTTTAGCCACTGGCTAATTTTTACATTACTCTAATTTATACTTGAATAAAGAAATATAGGTCAGAAGATATAAGTACAGTTCAGTATTCCATTTCTAATAGCTTTCACACACAAAAAAATCCTTCGTTATTATTTATTGTTGTTGACTTATATTTTTTGTAAGCCAAAGTAAGACGTAATTACTTTGCAAAGTAATTACTACGTATTTTTGATATCACAAAGAAATATCCAATCAATTTGATGAAGCCAGATGAAATACTTTAGGATTACTGTTGTTATCTTTATTACTATTGTTATTATTGACGTTATTTATATTTCTGTTGTTTTTGCTGTTGAATAATGTATGAACATCATCTCCGCCATCAACAGTAGCACCATCATCATCATCATCATCATCATCATCATCATCATCATCATCATCATCATCATCATCATCATCATTATCATCCCCATCGCCATCTCATTTAATAATAGGCCTACAAGGAACTCACAAAAATGTAATATTATATGGTCTCGCGCCATTTCCGTAGGACACAGAGCGCTGAAATAGAGACAACCCAAAAAGCAATAAAGCCAATAATGATGGTTGTTTTAAGTATCAACCACAAATGTATGTACACAATGAATGAATTAATGAATGAATGTTTCGGAAAAGAGGGTCCACCAACCGGTGTCGATACAGTAAAATAATAATTAAATATGGTTGGAGTCTATAGATGACTAATTACAGTAATTGGACATTTATACATAGGCCTACACTAATTATATTTTAGATTCGTTGCAATCGTGGCCCTGCGGTCGGATACCATTACTATATAGTTGCTCATACACACAACACACACATTGATTCACACGGCATTGATTCTAAAACTGAAATACAAATGATACTGTACAAATAAAAGACATAGTTTATGTTCACTATTTGTTTTATTTAACAACTACTCCTACAATTTAGATACATAATTGGGTTTCTTATACTGTACTTACAATACGGTACACAATGAATATAAACAAAACACATAATCGGCACCATGGAGGGAATAGCATAGAGTAGAAGAGTTACAAAGCAAACAATTGAGTAGAAGTTCTGTTTTGTATAGAGACACAAGTATTTGGTTTGAAAGTATGCTTTTCCATGAACTCGGATTCAAATGCTAATTACCATTTTTGGAGACAAAGTTTCAGAAGATGTGTGAAAAGCAAAATATATATAAAAATTCCCCTTCAACCCAAGAAATTATAAGTTTGATTAAAAGTAGTCGTTTTAAGTGTCACACGGAATTACTTTAGTATGGCTTTAATAAAATAATAGGGGGCGCTTCACAAATTGAGAAAGTAACGTTACTGTACTGTATTAATCTCGCTAGCTGTTACGTTATACGCGCGTGAGACGGCCATTTAAGCACTCCGAAAAGAGAGAAAAAGAGCTAAAAATGAAGATAAAAAATATAGTACAGTACTTTTTAAAAGTGTATATGTAAAACATTAATGAATACAACTTAAAAGGTTTCAATCTTTTTAACTCATAAAATATAAAGCACGTTTCAACTTAAAATTTACATACAAATTTTACTATCGTAATAGATAACAAAAAGGAAAAGTTCTCTACGGAATGTATTCCAACATCAACAGATCAGTTGCCATATAAACGTATCATATATGGCATACAACATGCTGCATGAACATGCTTGAAATAATATAACAAAAATCGTAAATATAACCCCTTGTCATTATATAACATCAAAAAGTAACGATACAATGATCAAATCCTATATACAGTACCATTACAACAATCGTTTTTAAGTAACATGCATAATCATTAAAGCAATAGAACACATGGAATGATATATATTTGCCATCCATTCTTAAATGAATACATAAAATGGTCCTATCATTAATGTTACATAACCATGAACTTTAGTGCAAGATATAATATTATATATTCACATATACTGTGAATCATATATAGTATAGTATACAGCATGTTTATTGTACTATACATAAACCCCTTTACTCATATATTTTATTTTGTAATATATATATATATATATATATATATATATATACATATACATATATATATATATATATATACATATACATATATATATATATATATTAATGCATAATATGCTCATCACTCACACATGGGCGGTGGATGCAATTAGCAACCGGCTAAGTAACCAACCTTAGCCTTACCACAGTATTTCGAAAACGGCAGTGAAATGCTCGGAAATAGCACTATCAGCCTTTCAAATGTTTTTCAGAGTGTGTACGTCACCAATAGAAGTTACATTTTTACATAGGCTTATTTCAAAAATCTGGTTTTAAAAAATTGGGTAAAAGTCTACAGCACGTTGTTTCATTAGATTATTTTCATTAAAACATCTTCACTATTTGACCTTGCATCGTGGGAAAAATTAATGTGTGTTTGTGTGTGTGTGTGGAGAAATGAATGCAACTCCACTGGGCCTAAATGATGAGCTTCAAAATATGTGATTCTATTAAATTGTTATTGATAATAATAATAAGGTATTTTGCCAATTTTTTTAGAAGATAGTCAATAGAGGCTGGCTACTTCCTAAACTTGTATTTCTTACAGGTGGGTATTTCAAAGGTGATTGCTGGACATGTGTACTCATTTGTTGATTCATACCACCTAGTTTTTACCAGTACCCAGGTGTCCTAGGCGCATTTTGTAATAGTGCGTGATATTCCATGTTATTCATCCAAACCATGTTTGGGCCGTTTGTAAGGAGGTATAAAATCCTCAGGATCTTATACTGCCACCTCTTGTTGGAGTAGTCTGGTAATTTTCTTTCTTTCAAAGCATTTATAAGCATACCAGAAATAGCACAAAACATAAAATATATCATACCAGTAAACAATATAATCTCTAATATATAGTGTATATGTATCTTTAAATCACCAAAATATCATATACATCATTATATACAATATATACACCAACAGTGTACATTGTATGATAATAGTAATAATAATGTATAGTAATTATAGTATAAAAAATAATCATATAACATACTATTACACTCAAAAGTGTTTTTGATGGTAACTATGAATTTCAAATAACTTCCTATGTTCATAAAATATATTATTAAAATGCTGCCCATCATTTTTATGTAAAAATTTGTGATAAAACATTGATTTTTTTTTTTGAAAATTGATATTTTCTTCAATATTGAAAACATTGACTGATTTAACTACTCAAAGAGCCTAACATTAAAAAGCAGGTATATTGCCTTCGAGCCACAAACCATTTCTCCCGTTATTGAGGAATTAAAGGAAGAAGGGGAAAACTGCCATGATATATCAGGGATATGCACAACTGAAATTTGTATGAAAATATTTAAGTATTTACATCTCTGTCTGTACAAGAAACACACTTAAATGGTTGCATGTAGAGACCCATAGGAATCACTGGAAAGAGGAGGGGGTCCTGAATGAACCTACCACACACCCATTGTCTCATCACATTTCGACTTCCTCATACTTTACTTAAGTCAGGGGTGGATGCAGGGGGGGCTAGAGCTCCCCACCCCCCCCAAAAAACAAAAGCGAGAAGAAAAAAAAAATAAAACAAGAAAGAGGGAAGAAGAGTGTGGTACTAAAGCACTGCATAACACCTCTATAGAGGTTGTAATATGTGTACTTGTATTGATTGGCTATACCACGCATCCACCCCATCTCCTCACCCCCGCCTGGTTCGGTGCTTTGAACGCCACATGCCCATACCCAGATTTTTCTCTGAACCACCCCTGAGAGTATAAATCTATGACTAATATTAATTCACAAGGTACCAACCTTTCCTATGGGCCCATATACATATAAACTAAAATATTCAGGGTACAATTTTGTTATATTATTATTCAAATGATAATGATACACACACACGTTCTTAAATTTAGGGGTTACAGAAGCATTATAAATATTTTGATCTCTTTAAAAGATTTTATAAAAGTGTTTTAACAGGCAAACAAACAATAATTTAAAGCGTAGCACTTTCACATTAAAATCATCATATTCACTCACCTTTTTAATTTATATAAAGCTGTGTTTTGCTACAGACATACAGTTTATTGAAAAAGCAAGACAATATTAAATAAAATGCATTAAAATTTCAGGCCACAATTATTCATCTAACTTTGGTATTTAATATCTAGTTTGGTACACAAATATCAATGTTATCTTAAATGTACTTTGTTATGCAGTTGATTTCTACTACACACATTATTCCACTGGAATGATTAACAAATACCCAGCATTTGTTGATGTATTCTCTTTTCAAAAAAGGTAAAGCCATGAAAGACTGTATCTCTTTCTTGCACCTTCCCAGCGCTTCCATGCATCTCCCATTCACGGCTGGAACCATATACTAACGATATGTTAAACTTCAGATTTTAGAAACATGTAAATAACTTATGATAACCACACTGGGTATGTAGCAGAAAACCACACTGGGTATGTAGCAGAAGACTGCTACAAATTTATGCAAGGATAAATGTTGCATAATTCTTTATTTCATTTCAAAACAATTCAATACATAAATAAATATCTAGACATCAAAAATTATTCAAAACATTTTATATACATAGGTTGATGTTTTTATACTGCTTAGGGTAACCGTTTGTTCATACTGTTGATTCAGTGGGGCTGAGCGGTGGCTCGCTATTCATGTAGTCATGCTCCGATAAGTAGCCATCGCTCGTTGCTTGGGAAACGTTACTGGATCTCTTAGGGGTCGATAAAATGTCCTGGTGACCAGAAGAGGCGTTAGCAAGATTCTGATAGTCAACCTGGCCGTTCAATAGAGGCTGGCTACTTCCTAAACTTGTATTTCTTACAGGTGGGTATTTCAAAGGTGATTGCTGGACAGGTGTACTCATTTGTCGATTCATACCACCTGGTTTTGACCAGTGCCCAGGTGCATTTTGTAATAGTGCGTGATATTCCATGTTATCCATCCCCACCATGGTTGGGCCGTTCTTAAGAGGCATATAATCCTCAGGACCTGACACACTGCCACCTCTTGTTGGTGTATTCTGGTAATTTTCTTCTTCTAAAGCATCTAAATGAAAATAAGAAGAACGTTTAAATGGAAATAAATATACAAGTTGAAAACATAAGATTTTCAAGCTGTAAATCATGCAAAATACTACCGTCTCACAAAACACAGTGCATTGCATGCAAAAACTGAAGAGTACTACAGTGTTATATCACAATACCATTGTTATACTACTCTATTGGTGACAAAATGCGATTTTCTCCACTGACAAACCACTGATCCCAATTTCTGATGTAATTGTTAAGATGTTGTATCTTAGCTTTTCTTTGTAAATTTTAATTGATGCTTAAATGTGTGTTCGATAACTAATATAATGTGAGCTTTTGTGTTTTTCGTACATTTTGATGGTAAATTATTAGGTTTTAAAATGCCTATTCCAGAAAGTCTATTCTAAACCACTAAGATAATGAAGTCATTCAGGCGTAATAAACGGTCACCAATATCTGGTTGACAACAAAGTGCGCCACCTGGTGTTGTGATGACGCGACTGTTGTACACTATAATAATCATTAAAATAATCCAAACCACACAAACACTGTTACATGCCTAGTACAATTTAGATTACCTTTTAGCAGTCTAGAAAAAGCTTAAAAAAAACCTAGAACTAGATCAATAAACTCTAAAAAGGTAATCTAAATTTACTATATAAATAGTAACAACAATAATTAAAAAAAAAACACAAAAATATATGATTTCAATTTACAGGAACCTTTACTGTAAAACACATTTGGTTAATTAGCAATGAGATGAAAGATCATGAAATATACAAAAAAATTTGTACAATCAGCATGTCTTTTTTTATTGTTGATATTTGAAATACTTCTGTAGGTAAAATAAGGAATAAATAAGGTAATTAAAATTGCTTGTGGCAAAAAACAGAACACATTACATTATTATATGTAGGGTTAGCGTTGCAGTGGATTGGCAATCCAGCACCTCACATTGGCTGAAAAGTTACAGTATCTCACTCGATGCCGATTAAATCTAGGTCAACCAAAATTATGGCGCACTTAATTAAGCCAATTTTTATTTTCTAAATCCATGAAAATTGAAATTAAAATTACTGGACAGCATCCCATTGGCATTTGCAAGGTTTCCCACTTTACGGTCCACCCACACTTGTTATTACGATAAAACAATATTGCATAGGGACATGACATTAGTTAAAAATAATATATAACTAGTTGTATATTCTTTAATAATAGAAACTGCTTTTGACTTTTACTTCTTATGGGCCAACTTCATAACTGAAGCCCAGTACAGTAGCTCATTTTGTTTTTCTTCAGGAAAAGTGCCAGACCAGCTTGTGCAGAATTTACAACTATATTTTTTAAAGGTTTTTAGAAATTTTATTTAAACTTAAACTACCCTAGGCTGACCTTGGAAATAAAAAGTTTTATTAATTTACTTAAAATTAAAAATGCCGGATTTGACCCTAAAACCTTTAGACTGGAGGGTGAGCACTTGACCAACCAAGCTACAGCTCACTCTAAATTAAATTATAAGCTAAAAAATTTATGATTATTTAGTAGGCTAAAAACATTGGCTACGATAGAGGGCGCCACCATCATTCCCATCAAATGTAATGTAAGGCATTTATTATTAGATCATTGCTTTCCAGAAAGTTTACATGCAATACGAAAGTGCTATGTTTGGATATGAATTCACTGCTTAGCAAATCCCCTCGTATGTGAACTCATGTCCCCTGTGGTGAAATGTGTTAAAGTTATTTTTTGTTAATCACAACAACAAAGTAAAGAAAGCAACAGAATGATCCCCAAAAAACGTACCAATCAAGGTAAAATGTGTCACAAAACACACAAAACACTGTTTAGTTAAAAAAAAAAAATTAAAGAAACCGTGGAAATGAAAATTAGGCAACAATACGATGAACGAGATGTAGCATCTTACCATCTGCCAGCTCTACTTCCTCTCTTATTAATGGTTGATAAGTGTTATTGTCATGATTTAGTGGCTGATACTCAGAACATGGAAGAGGATCTAGTAGAAAAAATGATTAAGCCAATGGATGTTAAATATCCTCCACCGTAAAAAAGTTGTGCCCATTAGGAAGCAGTGCACATTATCCTACGAAGCACCAAATTGTTAGCTGGTAACAATATTAGTAACACTTGAAAATTTGAATAAGTTTATAAAGATTATATATATATATTGCTATTTGGAATTGGATATATCCAAGTGCCAAGATTCATTATTTAACCTGATTCAGAAACCAAAATATGTTAAAATATAAAAAAACAGTATCAAAAATATCTAAAAAATGCAAATAAAGATGTAGGTTAAATAGTAGTTATCCAATTAATATTATCTCTAAATACAATTCATTTTTCTTTTAATTTTAAAATGAAATTAACTATTGAATATTTAAAAAAATTTTCTCATATATTTGTATTTGAATTATTTTGAAATAGGGCCTCTTTAAGTCAGCCTTGCTGTTAGCCACCATCTAAATATATTCGAATAAGTAAATTCAGCGTAATTCTGCAATGTGAAAGGTTGTTTGAATTTAATAAACCAGAATGAATGAATTAAACAAAATTGCCTATATGTTTGAAGTAATAAATGCAAATGCAGTTAATTTGGTTATTGTAAATAAGCAAGTTGACATTGAAGGAGCATAGGGAGCACACATTCTTTCCCCCTAAAAAGCTTGTGGGAAGAGGAAAAATTAAGCTTGACATCTAGTCCCCTCAAGGGAATAAAATTGAATCATTCAACATTCTCTTCACTTAATGTTCAAAACCCCATCTCCCATCAGCACCCACCTTCCCCCACCACCCCCTATTTCAATAATCCTAAATAATAATCCTGAAAATTGAGTAACTACTTCTGAATTAAAAAAAAATGTAAAAATAACTTTCTTATCTGATCTTAGCTGTATGTTGCCCTTTCAATTAATTGTGTACGAAAGGACAAAACAAGAGTAACATGTTCGGGTATAATTATTAGGCGTCAAAAAACCTGTAATGCTGCACACATTAATTATTCTTTTAAAAATTAAATATAATTTAAATGTCAATTTGTTTCCAATGTGTAAGGTCATGTAAATAAAATGGCAAATGTCCTTTAAAAAATGAATTAGGGATACAAGAAAAACTATAATTTCATAAATCAAACGTGTGAGATATGAAATTTATCTTGGCTACTGCAAAGGCAAATACCATAAGAAAGACATTCAGAACTTACAAAAATAAACAACATAAAAAACACATACAGAAAACAACTACTGTATCTCATGATTCTATCTATCTACTTACAAGTAATTCCTATGACATACAAATATTTTATTTCTCAATCACGAGGGAATGCATTTGCAAATGTATGGATATTTAAAGGATTTTAGGCAGTGTTAAAACAAATGACAATGTGATTTCTATTTGTGTATTCCTAGCTATCATCAAGAGGGTTTAGAAAAATATATAAAAAATATTAGTGTTTTGGGGCACGCCTTGAAGTATTGAGAAGCAATAAAATTTTTTCCATATGCAGCACCACAATAAAATAAAAACAAATGGATTAGAAAGTAGCAGTTAATTCTAATATTGAATAATCTATAACCCACATTTCTTGAAAAACATTTTTCTATATCACTCTAGCCATGATATAATTTAAAGTGTCATTCTATTGAAACCTACCCTCGCATATACCCACATCATGATCAAGAAATAAAAAGCCCATTCTTTTATTCCTATTGAGACCCAAAATGGGTCAAACAAATTCCAAGACACTGGCAGTCAACACGTCCACAAAACTAGTAGTTTTTGCATTGAAAGTATGTTTCAGATTAATGGATAAATAGCCAGCACAGCTGAATACAAAAATAGCAGCAATGGAAATGCACTAGCCAATTGATGTAACTTTGGCTACATTGGTGATCAAAAACGTTACTATTGTTTAAAAATATGCAAGTTGCCAGCTTCCTGTAAATTCTTCAAAATAATTATCACCCTCGTACTCTGTTCTTTCAAACACTCTTAAATCATCCATATTGGTCTTGGGAGCAATACTGTACATCTGCATTAATGTATTAATTAATACATAAGTAATAATTAATACAAATTAAGGAAGCTATTGCAGTCATCAAACCTCATGCTGCTAGAAAGATCATGATGCAGACAAACTTAATTATACCAGGCCTAGAAATGTGTAATATTAGGCAAATGTAGCTGCTTACTTCTTCCATTACTTGCATTGCTTCTTTGTCGCTGTAAATGACTTGCAACTGTGGGGTCCTGGGAGTACCTGAGACTGGTAGTGGAAGTACGTGGGAAGCCCTTGGGTTTATAGCAAACGGCTGATGAAGGCACCCCAGTAATTGTCACAGCATCATTTAAATAATCTCGATTCTAGAAAAAAAAGAAAAAAAGAGAGAATCAATTTTAATTGATTGATCTATTACAGTAGTCTGAGTACAATTGGGTATCTTCAGTGCCCTACTTTAAAAAAAGTAGAATTAAAAATATGTTTCAATTTGTATAATAATTGATAATAAATTCACTTTGTCCAAATATTCAAGTGGTCAAAACCTTGAATTCCATGTCTAAACTTTCATATGAATATTACTACAGATGAAAACAATATACTTTTGTTGCAAATAGAGGCAATAGCATAGGTACATCAAATTCCTCATCTAGGGGAAATGAATAAATATTTACAGATTTTACTAAATACAAAATCTCTTAAGGATCACCATTCCCACAATAAGTCAGCTTTTATCTATAGCAAAGGTTCTCAAGGTATTTGACCAACAACCTAAACAAACATCTAGGATATCCACTTCCAAGACCGCTAAAAATAGATACTCAAAATGGGTAATTAAATAGTAAACAAAATAAAAGTAAAAATTTTCATGATACTTAAAATGTGCAAATGGAAAATTTTAGCAGGATATAAAATTCCACTAAAAAAATCTTGGGTCACGACCCATAGTTTGAGAACTGCTGATCTGTATTATACCGACTGAAATTACCTCATCAAAAAACGTATCATCCACTTCTGGGAAGCGATAAGCAGGATCAGTATTGCACACACTGGGTTGTAGGTAGTCGTCAGCATCCATGAACAAGTTAGGATCTGCCTCTCCACCATCACTAAGTAGGCTTTTATAAAAATCATCTTTACTCGTCATTGGAAGCGTTTGCGCTCCATCATTCTGTAAAAGAGAACATAAATAACGTTAAAAATAAATATTTTGAATAGGGGCATAGTTTGGTTTCAGCCTAAGGGTGGGGGAAGGGGTGAGAAAAAATGCGGAATTAAATCCCCTATTCCAATGAAAACTCGTTTAAAATATTTTCACCCACTTAGTGAACTAATTTGCTGCCATGAGGTTAATTTTTTGGCTCAGAAAATTTCCTATGGGGGAGGTAGATCTGAGGTGCTTTTTTGGGAGGGCATGTGTCCCACTTCCTGTCACTTATGTTCTGGGACAAATATCTGTGATTTGTTTATATATGGGCATTATGATGTCACATCACTCATGTATGGGAGCAGAGAGGGGGGAAAGGTATTTTTTAAGAAAATACAGAATTTCTTCATAATGTGTGAAGTACTTTACCTGTATAACAAGGTATCTTGAAGGATCTTTTGCCATTCTGTCTAATTCATCTGACAGCTGCTTGAATGTTGGTCTGCTCTCTGGATCCAAGAGCCAGCCTGGAAATCAAATAAAAAAACTTACAATATTAATTACTACATGCATTATCCATATCACAACCCTGTAGACTGCATTCAATCATCCTACTTTTTCATAAAGTAATTACAATGAAAAATACATAAAACACATAAAATATATTTATTACACTATAAAGCTTCATTTGAAAAACTACACTTAAATTAGAAAGACAGATTACAATGATTTTTTTTTAAACTTTCAAATGTCAAATAAAAAAAAAAAATTAAAATTTCAGATCATATTATAACCACCTACTGATTGACAAATTTTTTAAGAATAATTATCAAGCTAGGATTAAAAGCATAAGTATCATAAATAAGAAAATATGTGATATAAGATTTAACTTTATTTACACATTACAGGAACACCCACAACAGAAATAGCAATATAGACACATTTTTAGTAATTTATGATAGAGTGTCATCTTTTAATGCCTCAGAAAGATTAAACAACAAAGCATAACAAAACCTAGTGTTAGTAAACATCCTCCAGTTGAGACATACTTGAGGTGGTCACTAATGATTTAATTTTTTTTCCATTGGAAAATTACTCAGTTACTCACATTTGACCATGAGCATGTACACATCAATTGTGCAAATCGGGGGCTGGGACAACCGTTCGCCTCGTTCCAGAATCTCGGGCATATCACGCGCCCTCACACGCTCATATGGTTTCTGACCAAAGGTCATAAGCTCCCAGAGTGTCACACCTTAAAGAATAAAACAATATTGTGTAATACACACCTAGAGCATTAATTACATGTCGTTGATATCATTACTATTAGATGAGACTGAAGACTTTGAAAACTATTACTAAAATGTATTTAGTACTAACCAAAGCTCCAGACATCACTCTTATGGGTGAACTTTCTATACATTATGCATTCTAGTGCCAACCATTTAATCGGCATCTGCAAAAGAAGTAAAAATTGATTTGATAACTAAATAATAATAATATATATATATAAAATTGATTTAAAAGTTTTAAGGTAGAAATAAAGAGCTCAGTAAAGCTAATGCTAATGTGGAATCCATTGCTTGTTGGAACGCCACTTTGACTCTCTACCATCTTAAAGCTGAATCGCTTTGGCAATTACTAGTGGTTGTTCGCAGTACTTCAACAAGGATGCTAGTTGTATTTATAAGTATACATTTGTTGGATTAATTAATATAAATGTTCTACTTTTACATAGTAGTTCTATTGCTTGCATATCCCCTCCACCAAATGAGCCATCATTTACATTCAACTGCTCTTTATGTGTCTAAGTTCAATGACTTTGACACTTGACATTGTCATGTGCAGTTGAAACTACAAGATTGCTTATATGTTGCCGCTGCTACTAACCTTCCCTCCATCTGACTTGTACTCATGTTCCTCAACCTCAAGAAATTTTGCGAGACCGAAATCAGTGATCTTGACTTGATTTGGCGAAAGGACGAGAACATTTCTTGCAGCCAGATCTCTGTGAATGATGTGTTTATCTTCCAAGTACACCATTCCCTACAAAAGACAATAATATTTTTTAAATAGTATTTTTAATATTAAAAAAATTAGAAAATTAGTTGTTAAAAAAAAAAAATTAAAAATTAGTTGTTAGTTAAGGTCTGCTATTACACAATTAAGGTAGGTCCTTTGGTAATAGACGAACTTAAAATTGTGCTTACAGTTATTTGCTGATATATTCATATTCAGGGCCTACATATTATGGTTAAATAATGGCTACTTTCAGAATATTGTGTTTTGGATTTCTACAAGCTTCTCTTGCAAGGTGTTTGTGAAAAATAGTAAAGAACGTCCATGTAAAGCCTACAAAAGTAGTAAATATAATGTGTTATTAATTCTTTATGAGCTTATAGAAAATCCAACATCTTCTGTGACCCACCTGTGCAATTTGGTGAGACCATAACAGTAAGTGTTGTGAGCTAATGCGCCCCTTGTGTTCTCTGGTGAATTCCAATAGTGCCCCCATTGGCATAAGTTGGGTGATTAACATCATTTCCTGTCCGCAGCAGACGCCGAGTAATCGCAATACACAAGGATGTTCTACCGACGCCATCACATATGCTTCCTGAAAATTAAAACAAAATCTGAAACTTATTAGAATCATCTGCTGCATTCTGTCAGATTTGTGTTTTTTAGTCAGACATGTCTGATAAATTGCAGCACAGTCAACATCCATCAGAAATGGTAAAAAAGTGGTCACCAGTCATCTGCGACTCCAGGAAAGTTGGCAATGTCTCAGACACTCCTGCAGGCAAGCAAAAATCCTCAGTAAACTAACCCATCTCCCACAAAATTATTGATATTTGCAGTTTTTTCACTACACATAAATATTGTTCCCCTAATTCAAGCTTTTTTTAAGGGGGTATGCACTCCAAGCCCCTCTCCACTGTAATTACATAATTACAGTGGATAACCTGAGCATTAGCTGAAGGCCAAAATGCAAGGGTAGACAAGCCATACCTCTAACAACTCTCCTGAAGCTTTGGCTGTGAGTCCCTCCTGGAGAACCTTGATGGCTATGGGTATCCGCACCTTTTCACCGTCTGGTGTCCACACACCCTGTTGAAAAAAGAATTTTAATGTTAGACCAAATTTCATTTCATTTCATTTATTATTTTCAGGCAATAAAATACAAAAAGACAAAGACAAAAGCCTGAAGATAACCTAAAGTAAACTTAATTATTATCGAGAGACTCTCCAAACAAAAACACGACAACAAACATACATTTAAAAATAGCAAGCTTAAATATAGACAATGATAAAACACAAAATAACAATAAAATTTAAAAATGCAGTCAACACTCTTTTAACACAACAAAACAATAAAAGGGTAGCCAAAAAAAGAATTCTCATTAGAACTTAAACTACAGGTAAGAGCTCAATGAGGTGAATAACACTGTATGCATATATATATCACATATACATTTATGATATTGAAGGGAGTTAGCCGTTAACACTGTAGAATACATAAATATAATATAAATCATCAAAGGTACATATACAGTGTTTAAATAAGGACATGATGGAACATCGTAGGCTACCCTGTAGCTTTTCAACGAGTGAAGTCCTATAAAATTTATTGTGTAATAAAATGTCTCCGACGGGATTCGAACCTGCGACCTCTCGCTGACAAGGCGAGCGTCATAACCACTAGACCACAAAGGCTTCATGGTTGAACAGGTCCAAATAACCGTCGGGAACATTGTATTACACAATGCTACGCCTCAAGAGGGCATTTGGCCAGATAAATCTGGCAATACGGCTAGAAATACTGTCGTATGTTATATATGATATTGAAGGGAGTTAGCCATTAAGACTGTTGAATATATATATATATAAAGCTTGTATACAGGTTTTATATATACCATGTGTCAAATATATAATGTGTAGTGGTAATGAATACTCTGATACATACAATTTTGACAACTCCGGTAGTCTTTAGATAAAATATATACTGTATATACATAAAAATAAATAATAATAAAAAATATATATAAATTACCTTGAAGACAGTACCAAAAGCTCCACTTCCAAGCTTGGACATTTTCTTCATTTCATTTTCATTAATTAATCTCAACTGTGCTTGATTTGGGGCAACACCACTTGGGGTCAAAGGCTGAAGTTGAAATAAAAACAATGCTCAGTATAAATATATAGCCAAAATCTTTCCGCAGTCATGCGATATACTTCAAACATTTTTGGGCTACTAAATGTAAGTATTGAACTAAAAAATTATGGATAATTTATATATATTTATATAATAATATAATGATAATTTTCCCATTAGATACACTAAGAATACACAAAGGGACTTTGACTTTGATATATATATATATACTGTCTCTTATACACATCTAGATGTGTATAAGAGACAGCACATATGTATATAAGGTATATAATTCTTGGTCTTTATCCAATCAAATTAATTCATATATACATAAAACTGTTTACAGCAGCAGCAGGTACCAGAATTGCCAAAATTGTGGGCATCACCATGCACAGCAAAATAATGTTAAGAAAGCTCATTTAAACAGATCTCCTAAAAATGGTTTCTTCCGACTAGGGAGCCCTAAGATTACATATGCAAATGAGCCACAGTGCAACTTTCCAAAGTGTCAATTAGAGTTATCAACTGACCAATCAGTCATATTCAATTAAGTGGGGCCAGGAATATGCCTATGTTCACCCCTCCCCCACAAACGCATATGTTTATGTTACACCAGTTGCTTTTTGTGGGAGACCTTAGCAACAATTTCCAAGAGAGACAGGGCTTTCTGTGTTGTTCACAATTTTATTATTATAATTATACACGCTAATACCGCTACTACACATCTTAAGTCAGTTTTCCATGCAAAGTACAGGTTAGACTTTTTTTTATTGGCTGGCAGATCTCAACATAAATATTATATTATAATATGAATTGATATTCATGCATTTGCTAAAAACCATCACAAAATAATTATCTTCATGGTTTCAATGCATGCTTTCCCCAATTCATCCTTTCTCCTCTAACTCAACATATCCAATACACCTCCCTCCTCCAACCCCCGCACACATACTGAAAGATTTACACATGAAACATCAACATGTTTAAGTGGATGAATATTAAACAGTGTTACCATAGAACTAAACCTAGCATGCTAAACATACCTCATTTTCTTCTGGGTGTTCCAATTGTTTAATGGCCTAATGATAAAGAAGAAGCATGCAAAAAACTAAAAACATTGCATTGACCATCATGCATCATTCGTTAGAATTTGTATGAATTAATGTGCTGTAACATACAATCAAAATGTAAAACAAAATATCTCATGTTACTAGACAAAACTTTGACCCATGACCCTGAAATTGGAAAGTCAGCACCTTAACTAACATGCTACAGCTTTATTTTATAATAGTGTTATTATTAAAAGGAAAATAGTATTTAACTAATTAACAATATGTCCTTTTGTTATATACAGTGTGTCTATTTGTGTTTAACACAAAATAAGTAGTATTATAATTATTATTATATATATTATACATGATGATAATGACTATTGTTATAAATATATAAAGAAAGTTAATAATAATTGCAATTTAATTGTAAATAAACATTAAAAATGGATATTTGTATATTTTTCTGTATATTATTAAGATTAGATTTGCATAAACAAAATGTTTAATTTGCCAATTAATTGACACATAATTAATATAATTCTTACATGTTTTGTGTGAATTCTTAAACTGACTAGGAATGAGTTTTATAATAAATGAAAAGTCAGTGAGAAATAAATTGTTTTGTTTTTATATTTCTAAATAAAATTTATAAATTATTTTTATTTCAAATTTTCAATGAGCAATTCTATGTTTTAAATATTATTTAATGTTCCTCCTCCCAATATTTTATCACTGACAGTAATTTTATAAAATCATATTGAATAACTCTTTTATTCATGTGACAGCAAACCTTAAGATGAATGTGAAGTAAATGATTTATGAAAACATAATATTAAGGCGATGCCTACAATAGGTTTATTCTGAATGAGGAAGAAGTTTATTAGGGTACCTTGTCAGGAAAAAGTTGTTATAAATGATGTAGGGTAAGGGATTCTAGGCCAATGATAAGAACTGAAATGTGTCTGTATTTAGGATGTTGTTTTATGTGAAGAAATACTAAATTATTTCCTTATATTTTCTTTCATATTTGAATTTATATGCGAAATGCACTCAGACGTAACAGTGATGAATGTGTTACTACTGACAAATCAACAATTTGTGTGACAAGTTGAAATTCAAATGAATAAATCACTTGCAATGTGAATTTGAACATACAATTAAACATGTATTACAAATCATGCATTTTGAAGAAGACAACACATACATGCATTATAACAATGATTGATAGGATTTACTATGTATGAAAGTGATCCAAAATTGTCAAAAATATTGAAAAGAACATAAGGTTTCAACAACATTTTTTGGTAGATTTATAATATGACTTTATATTAGGTCAATGATCATCATAATGATCGTGAAAATGATATGGTTGTGCATGAAGGTGGTGCTACTGTTGTTATTGCAATACTATTGTTGCTGTAAAGTTGCTGCTGGTGATGATGTAGACTTGCCGAAAGTCCTAGTGTTTGATAATTTCAGAAAGCGCCACCAGTGTCTGTTTTGGTTAAGTCATTGAATTTAGAAGGAATTTTCCCTAATCCCAGAAAAGTATAGTAAGGAACGCTATGCAAAAGTAATATGGAACTCCGTTCGTGTCAAAATCAATTTATTTTGAGAAGTTTTCACTGATTAATACAAAATTTAGGGACGGGAACCCTGTCTAGTGATAATGATGATGATGATGATGATGATATAATGATGGTGTTGGTGATAATGAAAATAAGAATTGTGATCATGATAATGAAAATGATGGAGGCTGATGGTTGCAATAATAATAATAATAATAATAATAATAATAATAATAATAATAATAATAATAATAATAATGAGGATGATATGTTGATGAGAATGATGTTGATGTTGATAATGATAGACTGATATATTATGTTTAAGAAAAGGAACCTCCTAAAGTAATAATAACAGAAAGGTTGCATTGAAGGGGGAAATAAGTAACAGATTATAATCAGTAGATTCCAAAGACACTACAGTACTTCCACAATTAAACAAAAAGATAAACACAATAATTAAATAGCATTCCCAAACATAAAGATATTCCAAGGAAGTGAATAAATGATCACAATATTTGAAGTTATGACTTACAAGTGTTGTGGGAAGATCCATCATATTGTCCCTGTATTTTCGCTTGTAGAAAGCGTATCCAATGAAGAATACCACCATCATTACTAACACAATCGAAAAGCTGACACCAATTATCAATGGAGATGACAAACCAGACCTAGAAAATGAACTGAATAAAATAAGAAATTGGACAACATGATAGGATACTGGACAGTGTCACACGATCCCATAGAGCATGCATTGCGATGAGGCGCGTGCAGTTTTCAATGGAGGTTGGCTGAGACTGCCGCTGACAATCAACAGATGGCATGCGTTGTCAAGTGTTCAGAGGGTGAGGAAAGATTTGTTGGTGGATAGCTGTGCAACAATTGTACAATGCAGAATGTGCCTGGCCTGAGGCTAAAATACTACTGTATGTTGGTAAACCAGAATCTTCAGGGGCGGATCCAGAGATAAACCAAAAGGAGGGCCGAAAGTGGGGCTGATTGAGATAATACTACCCTAAGGGGTGTGGGGAAATGCCCCTGCAAAATTTTTGTGTTCTAGACGCCCAAAAATAACTTGGGTGTTGGGCAATCAATTTTTTCTTTTCCTTTCTTTCTTCCTTTTTTTTTTTTCCACTTTTTTCCACCTCCCAAAAGGGGGTACCTGCCACCCCCCCCCCATTAATCTGCCCTAATCTTTGCATACAAGTGAAAAAATTTGGTTTATATCACTGATATTAGTTCTTCAATTCTTCAACTTAATTAGTGTTACAGTACTCTAATTTTGTTTGAACATAAATAAAATATTTTAATATAAAAGATGCCCTTTCAAAAACTTAAAAGACATTACGAATATTCTACTTACATAGTAAACTTACAAAAGCTTAAAGAGCCTAATAAAATACAGTAGAACCTATCCTTTGGGACACCCCTATTCAGGGGACACCCCTATTAATGGGACACTGTTTTTGGTCACGAAGGTGTCCCCTTAATATTGGTTCTACTGTATTTTGTTATATCTCCTGAAAGTACAATCCATCACTATCTGTTAAGAAGTACTGAAAAGATGCTAAATTATCCCAACTAGCGAAAAGAATTGCATAATCAATGTACCATCTTGAAAGGGTTATGGTTTCAATAGGACTTATGAAAAATATCACTGATTACTGATAGATATGGAAAGGCAGTTGCTTGTGTTAGAATGAATCAAAATCTTTGTTTTGCCGTGCTGAGAACGCTTTGCCGTCTGCTAATTGTCAGTACATGTTTAACATGTTTAACAGTAACTAGTTTTTAAACTTCCAAAGCAAGTAGTCCTTTTTCCTTAACCAATACATTTGACTACATTAAAGAGAATGAATGAATGAACATATAAAGAAAAATGGAAAATATTATTAACAACAACATAATTAAACAAACTGAGGGGCAGCTGGTCCAAACCTAAACTAAAAACTTACTTTGGTGTATCAGTGCTTTTGCCTGTAGTCGACAAATCAACCTTCCGGCAAATATTTCCATCTTCAACACTTCCTGTTGGACAGGTCTCCCTACATTCCCCATTATGATTGAAGTTCTTACAGGCTAAACAATCTTTCCTCTGATCACCTAAGCAACCACCCATACATTCAGAGTGGCAATTTCTGCACAGGTTTTTATCGTTAGGAAACATGTTTTCGGAGCAGTTGGACACACAAATGTACGGTGAACTCTGAAAAGGGAACTCCTCAGAGCATTGTGCTGCACATTCAAACTAAAATTTAGAAAAAAAAAATCAATTTACATGATACTCGCCTTTACAGGCTTTCACACAACTGAAAATAAGAAATATAATATAATATAATATTGAAGGAACTTAGCCGTTAACACTGCTGAATAAATGTAATATAAATCATCAAAGGTACATATACAGTGTTTAATAAGTACATTTTATCATATACAATATACGACAGTATTTATTTCTAGCCGTTTCTCCAGATAATTTATCTGGCCAAACGCCCTCTTAAGGTGCACTATTGTGTAATACAATGTTCCCGAAGGTTATTTGGACCTGCTCAACCATGAAGCCTTCGTGGTCTAGTGGTTATAATGCTCGCCTTGTCAGCGAGCGGTCGTGGGTTTGAATCCCGTCGGAGGCATTTTATTACACAATGAGTTTTATA